CTTTACCAGACAAACCCTGTATCTACTTGTTTTTAACTCCACACTATCCCCTATCCTTTATGAAACTCTGCACCTTTTCTGATTATAACTATAGCAGCTTATTTATTTATTCCACATGCTTAGTTTGTGCCTTTTGTATTGTTTTTAAACATGCTTGGGGACTAATGGAATCAGGCAAGAGGTTAGAGGGTGATGAGCACTGTTATGCTCTATTCCTGACAGTTTGAATGTCTTATGGTTGCCCCTGTTTATCTTGTAGCTTCCATTTTTAATGGAAGTAAGATCATCTTTAGTTAGAAAATGTAAACTAGTAATCCAAACAATAAATTCAAGCTATTGGTTTAAGTCTCTATTGCTTCATTAATAAATGCATATATAATTACTATTAACCACTTAATACTAGACATTTTCATTCATGCATTAAAATATTAGTACTCTAAAATCAGAGTTATGGGTCTGCCACTATTGCTTGCACTTTCATCCAGACTCAGTTTTAATAAACATGCAGAGTAAACCCCTTGATTTATAAGAATTAGAATAACAAAGATACATGCAAAATGTCAACCAAAAATGGATATTAATAAAGTGATTGCTTAGAAATGCAGGCAGATGCTCCACATCTATCACAATGCTACTTCAGAATCCAGGTACAAGAGTCACACACAAAAGTTAAAATTAGGACGACTATTCAGTTATAAAGGCTTAATTGCAAATCCTGGTCCTTCTGGGTAGAAAATGATGCAAAGCTTCTGGGAAAAGAAAGAGAATTGAGAGATGTACAGTCTTCTGGAGTTTTCTTGGCCATTTATTGACTGCTATAGAATAGAGGAGCATGGTGGTTTAGGGATGGTGAAGATGCTCTTAGAATAGTTTTTTTTTTTTCTTTCTGATTCACATTAAGAGCATAACCTGCACAGTTCCCAGGGGAAAAGGAGTTTAAAAATAGCAGAGCTAATATAATGTAAACTCAAAATCAATGCCCTGAAATTTAGCATAGCCCTCTGCTTCTGAAAACTGTTGATCAAGGGATCCTTCCAAATATGGTATGACTAAATAGCCAAGCAATGTTCTGAATAAACTAGAAATAATTTGCTCGCACCAGCAGCACCATGATAATGTAAACTCCTGGAGGCCAAGGGTCTCTTCATATTTTGCATATCACAGATACACTAAAAGTAAACATGAGACCACAACACTGAAAACTAATTAACCGCATACTTTGAAACTACAAAAATTTGTAGCATATTTTAGCATTTGGAACTATTAACTTGGCTGTTAAGGGTAATCTTTAATTGTTCTAAGTAACTAAATTGTTGACATCACAGTAATACACCTGGTGTCTCATGATCATGCAGATGTCTGAATATTGCTTGGTTATTCCAATGTCTTTAACACCAACTGATGGTTTAGGACATTTAAAAAGAAGCTATAATCAATTTAATATAGCCTCCCTATCCTTTAGAGTTGCCATGTAAGAATTAAATATTCAAGAGGCACTGTATTTGTTGATCTTCTCCACTTATCTTTTAGTTGTTTTTCCCCTTGAAAAACAAGGGAACATAGACCACATCTTTTCAGGGATCTTCAAAGTGCTAAATGGCCAAGATGACATGCGGTAAAAGGGAGTAAGAAGTCACCTTCATTCTACTCTTATATCCTGATGTGAGCTGCATGATTCCTCATCAAGAAACTAGTTTGCTGGGTTCTTGTTAAAGTAAGTAGTCACAGGCTATTGGCCTAGCACATCTACTTTAGACAAGGTTTAAAAAAAAACACCAACATACTGTCTCTGGCTATTTTCTTTAATCCTTTTGTTTTATACCTTTAAATCTTAACTCCCTAAACCAGTGACGGCGAACCTTTTGAGCTCGGCGTGTCAGCATTTTGAAAAACCCTAACTTAACTCTGGTGCCGTGTCACATATAGAAATTTTTTGATATTTGCAACCATAGTAAAACAAAGACTTATATTTTTGATATTTATTTTATATATTTAAATGCCGTTTAACAAAGAAAAATCAACCAAAAAAATGAGTTTGCATGTCACCTCTGACACGCGTGTTATAGGTTCACCATCACTGCCCTAAACTAACCATAGGCATGAGGTTACCAGCTATCCAAGTTCTTGTTAACCCTAAATACATATACACAACAAACTTTTCCTTTTTAAAAATGCACCCAGGAAACTAATGGAGAAAGATAAGGTGACAAAGCAAAAAGTATGCTATTAGTGTGATGCTAAAAAAACATCATAAGCAAGATCCCCACATGATGGCTTCAGTGGGGTTTCTTCATCAGTAAGAGAAGAAACATTTGTTTCCAGGTTAAGCAGTAGAAATAGTTCATTCAATGGCTCTAACCCTCTGTTCTAGAAAGCAAATAGGATCTTTAACCTTTAATTTACATAAAAGTTGCTATTTCTCACTGATATATTCATATACACTCATAGTTTTTAAAAGTACCTTTTATATGCTCTTTACCTAGCATCTTTTTCCTTTTGTACAAATTTCCTTTTGTACAACTCTTGACCATAGAGCCTCACAAACTCTAGTAATACTTATTCTACTGTACAACCTTGTTATCCAACTTACTATACATGCTAAAATTGTTATTGCTAAAATTCTACCTCTTGAAATTATTAGTTCGTTTTATGGCTTTTTTTTTTCAATAGGAAATATCCTTTCCTATATACTGTGCTATTTTGTATTCATTACCTTTTCAGAGGTATTAAAAAAGTATTTAAATACTTTTCAGAAATGGATTCTCGCAGGCACTAAACTACTTGAGCCAAGAGTACAACTACTTAAAGTACACTATGAGCATCTAAATCTGGGTCCCTGGAGATCTGCTGCAGAAGAGTCTAAGCTTGCTTCTACATCAGACACACATTAAACTAGTTTTGCATTTCCTATCATGCTAACTATAGAACCTGTGAATAAATCCTGGACTCCCCTAAGAGATTTAAAAATCACCTCAGAAAACTGCCATTTACAAGTTCTCAAGGCAGCTTTTAGAGGTAGGAATTTCTTTTCTACATGACGCTATCTTATGCTTTCAGAATAAAAATAACTTTTATATCTACAAGGAAAGTAGAAAAGTGAAAGCTGTCTGAGGAGGCTTACTATAACCAAGCAAAGTTAGTTATTACATGGCAACTTAGGTAGGCTCTATTGGCTACATTTCCAATTCCATGAAAAGGTCTAGAATCCCAACAATACACAATTCAGCAAATTTGGAAATAGGAAAAGCCCCTGACAAATTAATCTAGGACACTCTAAACTACTGACACATGGCATGCTGCAGACAGGAAGTGTAAGTAGACTGCAGATTAGAAAAGCACTCAAGCAATGAACATAGCATCTCAGTAAGACGTGCAAAATTATTTCCTGATGCAAAAGGAGTGGGAAAATTATAAACCTAAAAGACATAAAATGTGAAAAAAGCATAAGAACAATCTCACCTAAAACTGAGCAAAGCAGAATCATGAAATGGGGCCACATTTTGATTTGAGGTTTCATAAGACACACAGACAGCTGGTTTCCAGCTACCTCATGAAAAGCTTAAATATCCTCAAATACAGTATTTCACATTGTGACCCCACTTTACTATTCATAAATGAGTCTTTTTGGCCTAATCTCCTCTCCCCAGGGAGAATATCATGGATACAGAAACTTATGAAAGAAAAGTTCTCAATTTTCCACTTTTTACACTATTGGTTATTATAATAATTCATCCTGAAGTTTAAATTGTTACTAGGCTCATGCACTAACCCCTAACATGGCACTACAATATGCTACCAAGCACTAATGCTTACAAAACTATACACATCTCAAAATGGAAGACATTGGTGATTTTGTTGTTCTGAAACAACTTGTAACATTTGTCCACAAGTATTAAAATATACATATATATATATTTCTATTGCACATATCCCGTTTTAAACTTAAAAAAACAAAACAAAAACACAAAAAACAATTGCCAGCTAACATGGATGCACAAAGGAAAGGAAGCAGGCACAGCTATCGATTGAGGCATAGTCCTGCCGAAAATGATAACTTTTGCCATCAAGAAGGGGACCAAACCAGGAAAAAACCAATGTAGATGTATTAAATAAACACTGGGCAAATACAACTGGAATATACGCGTTTTGTTAAATGCCATCTGCTGACAAGAGGCGCAACAACTTGAAAGAACATTAAACAGTAGTTTCCTTAGCTATGAAATGAAAAAAACATAAAGCAACTAAGGAAGTTGAGTCTGATACATATTTCAGACAAGTGAGCCAGAGATGTTTTCACTGGTTCTGATTGTACAGGGTTCCTTATTTCTAGCCAAGTAGTTCTACCTAAAAAGTTGCCAAAAGGACACCAGGAAGATGGGTAATAGACAACTGAAGATACAAATTCTCCATTTGATATTCTCAATATACCAACAGGACCCAAATAGAGTATGTAAATTCCATTCTGCTATTAATAATTCCAAAATATTAGGAATCAGGAAGTGGCTGGGAAGTTACGTAGAGAAAAATTTAAACTACCTTTATCCAGTTACTTCTATGCTTTACCACTCAGTAATTGCCCTCAATTAAGGAAAATCACATTTTATCTATATAATCTTTACTCAAAAGTTTTCTTATGCCAATTCAGATTGGTTGACCAATTAAACTAATTATCAAGGGTGCTCAACATTTCTATTCTGGGCCAGTCCTATCACTCTCAAATTTGGTAAATCTGCCTGTTTTCAGCGTAACAGCATGTATGGCCCTGGGCAAGCAGTCCCTAAATAACAGACATGACCTAAGATGATTTGTTCCTAAGAGGCTTTAAATTCTTTCTCAAATAACAAAGACCCATAATGGTCTCATTCTTCTCATGTAAAGACCTGACAATTCATACACTGGTCCTCTGCTGACCTTGAAGCAAGAACAGCTTTATACTATAGTCTATTCACCATATAGTGTAAGTTTTAAGGGAAAGGAAGATCCATATTTCTTATTGGAACTATTTTTTTTGAGGTTTTCTTTAGACCTGAATTTCTTCTAAATTTATACTGATCCAAACACATGTTTGGGAACATTGCTTCTGAGGCCCATTCTCTGATGAAAATGGGAAGTTACCTGAGTCCCAGCCTTTTCTGCCTAACATTACAGCTATCATCTAGAAAAAGCAATCAAACATCCAAGTATTGATCTTGGGTCAAAGGAAAGTTATTTATACTTTTACAACAAAATAGAGCTATGAATGTAAAACGTCATAAAGCCAGGTGGATGTATAAGGCTTTTTTTGCTTCATTTTCTTAGGAGAAGGGAGTTATATGAACATTTTCTCACCCTCCCCCAACCCCTCCCCATTCCTCCATGTCCAAAGTTGAAGGCAGGTCATACTGGAGGGTCCATCACATCTTCTGAACAGAAAATCTACTTATGTCACCTTTCTTCCAGCCTTAGCAATAGGGAAAAAGTCCCAAGTGCTATATAAAACTCCACAAAAGAGAATGAAGTAATTTGTAATACAGCAGCCTCTCATCCCAAGGAGGTGAAAAGGGTTCCAACACTGGACTCAAAGCTTTTGTTTCCTTTACCAACCTTCACTAAACCCAAGCATGCATTCATTGGGTTAGCACAATATGGTCCTTCCTTAGAAGAAAAAAAGAAAAATTTTTACAATACCAAATGTCCAAAGACTTCTGAGAAAGAATAGGTTCCTTCTCTGGGAGAAAAATCCCTCTTCTCATTAAAAAAAAAAAAAAGTGGATTTACATGTTAAAATATATATTTATACAGAGACTGTGATGACTTATTTATATATGAAATTAACTTTGTGATATTCTGTTTTTGTGCTTCTTTATCACATCAAAGGTTTCACTGCAAAGCTGGACCTTTGTTCTTATCCAGTTCATCTATGTCACAGGTTGAGCCAGGATTTATATATATATATTAGCATCTCTTTCATTTCAAATTACAACACATCTGAAATTTACTGCTGCAGTCTTGACTGTTTATGATAGTGGCTAAAATGGGAAGACATTAAAAAAACGAAACAAACCCTGATGTCACACCCACACTAGCTATTTATATAGTCTTCTTGCTGGGAATAAAAGGTAAAAAATTCACAAATACCACCATCTAAGCACCAGTTTCAAATTAAACATCACCCTTCAGCTTGCAAAATAATTTCTTTACAAGTAAGCAATTGGCAGAAGAAACATGTCAGTTGCTTCTTTCTTCTTGGAGAAGTTGGCATGATGACTGCATCCTAGGAGCTTCTCTGTGTTAAATTTGAGAGGTGGGAAGAAAAAGAAAAGCAATCTTTTGCAATCCAAAACATGGAGGTAAAATGTAGAGGAGGGATATCCGCATTTCAAGATACGGAAGTGGGTAGACAGAAGAAGCAGGACTCCCCACTCCAGAAGACAACACAGAAATACCTAGAAATACAAAATAAAAACAGAAAGATTAAAACAGGTACTTCTGTATAAGCTTACTTTTAAAAATAGTATTTAACACAGAGAGAGAAAATATTTTGAATTATACACTGTCTAAAAGAAAATGTGCAACCATAACACCCAATTCAGTATCATCACCAGAAAAGCAGAAGCAGTAGCCAGAAAAAAATATGTAAGTATGATACAAAAAAGATTTATACAAAAACTTATATAAACTGAGATATACACATTAATTTCCTCTTATGCAAATAAAGTAATATACTCCAAGTTTTTACAGTCAAAATGATTTTATGGCTGTAAATATTTGTGTTTAAAAGTAGTATTGTACTCCAAATTTGATGTCTAAATACTCAATTCTCAAAATCGTATGAATCATCTTATTTTGAATTATCTTGAACTATATAAGAACAACTTGCTGAAACCGGTTTGGCTCGGTGGATAGAGCATCGGCCTGCGGACTGAAAGGTTCCAGGTTCGATTCCGGTCAAGGGCATGTACCTGGGTTGCGGGCACATCCCCAGTAGGAGATGTGCAGGAGGCAGCTGATCGATGTTTCTCTCTCATCGATGTTTCTAGCTCTCTATCTCTCTCCCTTCCTCTCTGTAAAAAATCAATAAAATATATTTACAAAAAAAAAAAAAAAAAAAAAAGAACAACTTGAACAACAAAAATTTTATAAAATATAACTATACATAAAAAATATGTACTGTATGTATCATGATCACCAAATGCAAGCATGTAAAAACATTAGCAGTAGCCCTAACCAGAGTGTCGGCCTGCGGACTGAAAGGTCCCAGGTTCAATTCCGGTCAAGGGCATGTACCTTGGTTGCGGGCACATCCCCAGTGGGGGGGGGGGAGGAGGCAGCTGATCGATGTTTCTAGCTCTCTATCCCTCTCCCTTCCTCTCTGTAAAAAATCAATAAAATATTAAAAACAAAACAAAACAAAACATTAGCAGTTCATTGCTGCTAAACATAACACTCATTAAATTGCAAATCTCGGCAAATGTCAGACAAAAAAGAACAAATATTGTATAATTCCACTTACATGAGGTACCTAGAATATGCAAATACATATAAACAGAGAGTGGAATAGAGGTTACTAGGGGCTGGAAGAAGTGGAATGGGAAATTACTGATTAACAGGTACTGATGTTTGGGATAATGAGTAAGTTCTAGAAATAGTGGTAATGGCTGCACAACAATGTGAATGCACTTAAATGCCACTGAATTGTACATTTAAAAATGATTAAAATGACAAATTGTATTTTATGTATACTTTATAATAAAAAAGTCAGCCCAGGCCAGTGTGGCTTGGACGACTAGAGTGTGGTTCATACATCAAAAAGTTGCAGGCTCAATTTCCAGTCAGGGCACAGACAGAAGGCAACCAATCAATGTTCTCTTTCACATCGATGTTTATTTCTCAACTCCCCATACTTTCCCTCTTTCTAACCAATAAGTATATCATCAAGAGAGGATTAAAATAAATACATAAATAAGTCAAATACATATCAAGAGCTTAAAGTACTTTGGCTTACAAAAATGGCCAATAGCAATTAGTCTTCCTAACCCTCTATTTTAAAAAATTTATTAGCTACCTTGATAGGGTTGACCCTCCATTTGTAGTATGTCATATACAGAGTGTCCCCAAAAAATGTATGCACATTTTGAATGATTATAAAGGCAGTGTTTATTAAAAATACATTTCATTTTCAAAATGTAATAGAATCTACAGACATTGTATATACACTTTTGGGGGGATACCCTGTATATATAACACCTCAGCTCTAAACTGAATTTGAATAACCTCTTTTGGTTGAAGACAAGACAGTTCTGATTCAAAACATATGACAGGCAATTGTAAATTAATTCAGAATTATATCTGAAGGAAGAGAACTGCAGAATTTGCATTTGTTGCTAAAGCAGCAGAAGGAAAAAATATAGCCGATACACAGGCAGGCCTTTAGAACCTTATGGGCAACAGGGCTATCCTATGTAATAATAGACAAACATGGTAATTGACCGTACCTTTGCTAAGCTTCCCATTGGCTAATCGGGGCGATATGCAAATTAAATGCCAACAAGGAGAAGCTGGGCGGGGCAGGGAAGAGGCAGCAGCTGCCTCTTCCCTGCCCCCCGCCGCCCCCGGCCCGGTGTTCGGAGAAGTACCTGTATTTTTTTTTTCAAAGTACCTGTATTTTTAATAATTTCTTGACATGGTAAAAGAATTCCGGTCAAGGGCATGTACCTCGATCCCTGGCCCTGGTTGGGGCGTGTGAAGGAGGCAACCAATTGATGTGTCTCTTACACTGATGTTTCTCTCTCTCACCCCCCCCCTTCCACTCTCTCTAAAAATCAATGGAGAAAAAAAAAAAAGAGATCTCAAAACAACAACCTAACTTTATATCTTAAGTAACTAGAAAAAGAATAAACTATCCCTAGCCGGTTTGGCTAAGTGGATGGAGCACCGGCCTGTGGACTCAAGGGTCCCAGGTTCGATTCCGGTCAAGGGCATGTACCTTGGTTGTGGGCACATCCCCAGTGGGGAGTGTGCAGGAGGCAGCTGATCGATGTTTCTCTCTCATCGATGTTTCTAACTCTTTATCCCTCTCTCTTCCCCGCTGTAAAAAATCAATAAAATATATTAAAAAAAATAAAAAGAATAAACTAAATGGAAAGCTAGCAAGGAGGAAGGGGGAAAATTAGAGCAGAGTTAAATAAAATGGAAAAAAAATAGAGATTCAACAAAACCAAAAGTTGGTTTTGACAGGGTCATGGGAACCCTGAAATTTGCAGAGTTGAACAGAAATTCAGGTGGCCTGGGAATCCTCCAATGTGTAACTGGCACTTAAAAGAACAGTGCCCTGGCGACATGACTCAGTGGTTGAGTGTCAACATATGAACTAGGAGGTAATGGTTCAATTCCTGGTCAAGGCATATGCCCGGGTTGTGGGCTCAATCCCCAATGTGGGGTGTTGAGGAGGCAGCCAATCAATGATTCTCTATCATTGATGTTTCTATCTCTCCTCCCCCTCTGAAATCAATAAAAATGTATTTAAAAATAAAAAATAAAGGGAGGGCAGCCCAGCCAGTGTGGCTCAGTGGTTGAGTGTTGACCCAGGAACCAAGAGGTCACCAGTTCAATTCCTAGTGAGGGCACGTGCCTGGGGTTGCAGGCTCCATCTCCAGTAGGGGACATGCAGAAGGCAGCCAATCGATGCTGTTTCTCTCTCACTGATGTGTCTATCTTTCGATCCTTCTCCCTTCCTCTCTCTCTAAAAAAAAAAAAAAAAAAAAATCAATAAAACCTATCTATAATAAAAGGGTAATATGCTAATTAGATCGGACAGCTGAACAACCTTCCGGACGTCTTTCCGGATGAAGCCGCCGCAGCAGGGGCTAAGGCAGAGGTGGTTAGGGGCGATCAGGCAGGCAGGCGAGCAGTTAGGGGCGATCAGGCAGGCAGGCAGAGTGGTTAGGGGCGATCAGGCAGGCAGGTGAGCAGTTAGGAGCCAGTGGTCCCGGATTGTGAGAGAGATGTCCGACTGCTGGTTTAGGCCTGATCCTGCAGGGATCCCTGTGGGATCTGGCCTAAATCGGCAGTCGGACATCCCCCGAGGGTTCCTGGATTGAGAGAGGATTCAGGCCAGGCTGAGGGATGACCCCACCACCACCACCCATGCACAAATTTTGTGCACCAGGCCTCGTTTTTTAAATAAATAAATAAATAAATAAATAAATAAATAAATAAATAAATAAATAAAAATTTTAGGGCAGCTCTGTCTAGTGTGGCTCAGTCTCAGGTTTGATACCTGGTCAGGCACATACCTAGGCTGCAGTTCCAGTCCAGGTGAGTTCAGGAGGCAATCTATCAATGTTTCTCTCTCCCTCTCCCCAACCCCTCTAGAATCAATGAAAAACATACTCTCTGGTGAGGAATAAATAAATAAAATAAATAAAGCAAGGGCAGTCTGTTTGGGACCATGCCCTTTAGACTTGTGGGGTCTGCATTAACTCCAAATGGTATCAGAATTGTATCAAAGTATACTAGTTGGTGTCAAAATAGTAACCAATAGACCAAGGAGGAGGAGGAGCAGGAGGAGGAGGAGGAGGAGGAAGTAATAGTGAGTAACTTCTGAGGCAAGGTCATAGATGGAGAAGCCATATATTGTATTACGATGGCACTCTGGAAGAGACTGACACTGGAAAGAACTGAGGTTTTCCATCACCAACATGAATTTGCCAGCCATGTGAATGAGCCACCATGGAATTAGATCTGATGACTGCCACCCCAGCCAGTATCTAGACTGCAACCTTGTAAGACACCCTAAGACAGAAACCCCCAACTAAGCTGCTCCCTAATGTTTGACCCACATAAATTTGTGAGATAATAAATGTATAATGTAGTTTTAATCCACTAAATTTTGGACAATTTGTTATGCATCAATAAATAACTAATACACTTTGCTTCCTCTAATGACATGGGACTCAAGTACTCCTTTCTTACTTCTCTATGTAAATAGTAAATTTAGAACATCTCACAAAACACAATGGATATCATTGTCATTCAAATTCCATTTTTAAGTGTCTTATTAAAAAAAAAAAGTACTAGGCTTGCTGGACAGTCTCTGTTCTCAGATATGGATAGACTCTACTAATGTAAAATTACTGCCTAAGGCAAAAACTTAACTTCTCAGTCATTTATCAATTATTTATTGCATGCTTCTTTCTTTGGGTATTTTTAATTATTTCCTTGAAAGATGACAAATGCACATGATAGGAAAAGGTGAAATAGAGTATACAGTTGTTTGTTTTATGTGCCCCAAGCATGAAAAAGGTGGATGTCTGATTTCTAAAACTGTGAGACAATAAATTTCTGTTGTTTCTATTGGCCACCAACATAGGCATCAAGTTAGGATGAACTAAAGACTATATATATCTACTTTTCCCTTGACTTATGTAAGAGCAACACTACCAACCAGGTGTCTCTTTACCCATTGCCAGAGGGTGGTATACAGTATTTCCTGCATATCCTTTTAGAGATATTCTATGGTTACATAACATCTGTATAAGTAACTTTATTTCTTCCCCACAAATGAAAGCACACTATACTCCTGGTTCTGCACCTTTGTTTTTCCCTTTAATGTATACGAGATCATTCCGTATCCAGAATTCAAGCTTCCTGTGAGTACAGAAGCACCTACATCAGTTTCCTTAGCTGGGTATGTAAATCAGTATTGTGCTATACCAATATCAAGTTGCTATTTCTGTCGACCTGGACTTAAGGTTCTAAATCCAAGCAATAAAGCCTTCCCTCTAAAGGCATATGATAAAGATATCACCTAAAGGGAATTTTGCCCCATCAATTTTTATTCCTTTTCTTAATATTGACACATACAGTTGGAGTTTTTTACTTACTTTTTTTTTCAATATTTTAAAATTATGGTACAATACATGTAACATAAAATTTATCATCTTAACCTTTTTTAAGAGTTAGTGTTATTAAGTAAATTCATGTTGTTGTGAAGCCATCACCACCATCCATCTTCAGAACTCTTTTCATCTCACAAAACTGAAACTCCGTTACCTATTAAATAACTCCTTATTTTCCTCCCTGCATCCCCTGGCAATCATCATTCTACTTTCTATCTCTATGGTTTTGACTACTCTAAGTACCTTATGAAAGGGGTTTACAAGATTTTAATCCTTAAAGCAGTTGTACATTGAATGATTTCATACAACACAATCAAGGCATATGACTAAGTAGATGCTATGAGCTAAACTGTGACCTCCGCAAATTCATGTTGAAATCTTAGGCCCCAGTACCTCAAAATGTGACCTTATTTGGAAATAACCATTGCACATGTAATTAGTTAAGATGAGGTCCTTATAAAAAGGAAAATTTAGAACACAGACACACACAGCAAGAATACTATGTGAAGACTAGAATTATAGCCCTGGTCGGTTGCTCAATGGTTAGAGCACTGATCCTGGGACCAAAGGGTCCGCAAGTTCGATGCCTGGTCAAGGGCACGTATCTCAGTTGCAGGCTCGATCCCTGGCCCCATCCCTGGCCCCAGTCAGGGTGTGTATGTGTGTCTCTCACATTAATGTTTCTCTCTCCTCCCTCCCTTCAACTCTCTCTAAAAAAAAAACAAAAACAAAAACACACACAAACACAAAATAAAATAAAAACAATGGAAAAAATATCCTTGGGTGAGGATTAAAAAACAAACAAACACGTGGAGTTATAATGCCATAAGCCAAGGAACTACCAAAAGCTAGAAGGCCTGGAACAGATTCTTTCCTAGTGTCTGATTTCCAAAACCGTGAGATAATGAATTTCTGTTGTCCTAAGTCACTGTTTGTGGTACTTTGTTATGGCAGCACTAGGAAACTAATACAGTAGGTAAGAACCCTATTTTACAGATAAGATATTGTCAACTGAGTACATACTGCCTCTTGCTCTTTGAGGCAGTAAGTACTCTCATATAATACAGATGCCTGATAGTATTATACTTTGCAACCCCACCACATTACACAAATTACACTAGTAATTCCCAAAACTCATTCTTTCCACAAAAAAACACACACCTACTTCTGCAGTAAATTCAGAAGATATCAACACTTGGCAGAGAATAGACTCACACTGGGGAAAAAAAGAAGTACTGAAAAGCTTTAGAAATTAAATATTACAGTATCAATACTTACCTAAAATTAAAACTTAAGTGAATATATTCTAAAATTTGCCTAATAACATATTTTATCAGTCAAACTCTTTCAATCTAATTAAATCATTCTTTTTTACCCAGTAAAATGGTTTGGGCTAATGATTAAGTATCTCTTTTCTTTCTTTCTTTCTTTCTTTCTTTTTTTTTACTTAATACATCACCATTACTGAAAATAAAAGGTTAAGCTTGAATATCAATTATTTATGGTCACTTTTGATGTTCATCTTCTGTTGGAGCCAATGATTCTTGTCCCACTTCTATCCAGCTATTTTCAAGGTGATTAAACAGTATTTGGAAGCATTAGCCACTATTACTCACTTGCCAAATCCTGAGTTCAGAATTTTTTCTTTTCGAGATGAATATAAAAGCACCTGAAAGTCAAGGAAAATGTTCTTCCTGTGATAAGAAAAAATAAAAAGAGCATTACAGTAAGGATACAGCCCTCACTTGTGCTATAAGCATTCTTGTGCAAAATTACTCAAGTGAATCAAGCTTTTCTAAAAAACATAAAACATCATCACTATCAAACACTATTCAGAAGGAATCATCAGAAAGAAGTTACTACTGTCCACCTGCACGGGCATTAATGTGATAAATATGCAAAGCTCTTGGAGCAGTGGTTCTCGGGTTACTACGAAACAATGTCCCCTTTAAAGATGATGCTGTGGACCCTCTTCCCCCACAAAGGACCTTTGCTTTAGTGCAGATGGCCACTCCCCTCTGAAAGGCAGAGGGAAGAACGTTCCTCCTTCCTCTGCCCCTATCTTCTTGATGAAATGAAAAAAAAAACACAAAATAAAACAAAACCTACTCCCGACAAAACCAAAAGAAAGATCTTATTTAAAAGTCCTTTACCCGGTATTTTCAGCTCTGCTAAAGCCAGGGCCGGCAAAGAGCACACCAGAAACATTCGCTTTATTATGACCTGTCATTTGAACTGGACCCGACTCACATGCCACTTTTCCACGAGCTTCACCAACTCATAACCCCGGTAACAGGAACTCTCCCAAGAGTTTAACTCAAAGACTGACCGCAGGGTCACAACAATCCAAATTACAACGAAGAGCTGCCCCATAATGTTAAACAAGAATCGAACACAGATGCCTGACAGTATTATACTTTGCAACCCCACCACGTTACACATACTACACTAATAATTCCCAAAACCCATTCTCTCCACACACACACACAAAGAAGTAAAAACTGTACGCTGACTCTAGTTCTGGAAAACAACAAGGAGAATTCCACCGAGACGCAGAGCCGGCCGCGATGAATGCGCCATCAGGAAGCCGTCAGGTCACACAAGGACAAAGCTGCTGCCCGTCCTTCCCAGTCGGAGGTGGGAGGGGGACGGACGGACGCAGGGCGGGCGGCCGGGGACGTGCGCCACACGGACTCCGATTACAATCCGGGGGCAACTCGTTCGACCCAAACTCAAGGTCAACGGACCACACACACAAAACACTCAGAGCCGCCACAGGCCTGGGTGCACGCCGGGGCCTCGGGCACAGCAGTGACTACGAAGCCGTGAGGGGGGACTCTAAATAAATTTAAAAAGGCGTATTCTTCGAAAGACAAATCGCCGGCCAACGCAGCGGCTGCCAGACATACATCTGCGTGGGCGCAACCATGCGGGCAGCCAAAGGCGTGGTACTGAGGGGGACGGCGGCGGGTCGAGGGCCGAGCGGTGATGCGACACACCTGGAAGGCGGGTGCGGTCGCCCTGGGCAGCTGG